AGAGTTTTCTCGTGGACATTAACCAGCGTGTCCACCTGAACGATGGTGTCTTTGATCAGACCCAGAGCCCGGGTCAGCTCCTCGTGCTCCTCTGTTCCCGCTGAGACAGGGAGAGAAAAGTACCTTTGTTATATACAGCAACATGAAATTATAATGAGTGTTCCTCGCTAAATAAATAGGTGCACTATTATTAATCGTGGTGCAGGGGTGACGTATTTGTGTAGGCCTTAAGTTAGCATCGCAGGGGCGCCCTCTACAGGCAGACTTTGAATGATTGCAGAAAATAAGCTCTAGTGGAAACAAATGTTTATGATACTGAGATGTTTATTGACACGGTCACATGACTTCACCACCGCTAAGCTAAAAGCGGCTAATGTTGGGCGTGATGACGTCTAGTCGTCTCATTTAGACACTTGTTAGCAACCGCTGTTTTGGGGTGCAGAATAAAACAACTAAATATCTTCAGCTTGTGTTAACCACAGACCTTATTTCAGGAATCTAACCAAAATAATGTTTAAAAAAAATGTCTAAGATAAAAGAGCCAGAAGTGTTAAAATGCTGACTCATAACTGAGGTATAGGACTCATTCCTCCTGCACCACTCTTTTGTGTTTTATAGATTAAAATAAGCATGTAAAAATCCGCACCTTCAGTGTTTGAGGATAATGCGCTCCACTAGTACCGGGTACTTCATGATGCGCTGCGTCACCAACAGGATGCACTCGGACACTCCTAACCTCCGCACAATGGACAGGTTGTTGACTTTCTGGAAATGAAATAACTGAATTAGACATTTAGTGGATTTAAAACACTTAGCTACAGATTTACTGGGGATTTTATCTCTTACCCGAATGATGTTTTGGAACTTTTTGTTGTTGTGCAGCTGTTCTTTGTAGTAGCTGACAGCCTCGGTGTGGTGACTGCAGAAATCTCCATAGCTTTCCTTCATCCTCCCCCCCACCTCACCTGAGAACTGGAGAATAAAGGAAACTTGACCAATTACCAAAATGTTATTTAAACACATAATTAACCTTTAACAAATGCTGTGCTTCCTACGATTTAAAAAAAGTGACAAAAGTCAGCTAAATGTCATGTATTGTGAGCTCTCCATGGACATCATCTCCTCCATACCTGTGTGATCAGAATGTCGGCCACCCTGTTGATGGAGTAGTTCCTCTCGTTGGGCGAAGTGAGGTTCTCTCGCCGCCGCTCTTTGAGGCGAGACAGGAAGTGTGTGTGAAGCTCGAGGAGGTTCTCCAGGCGGGGGAACAGACAGTCCAGCTTCCCAGAGTCCATCTGCAGGTTCTCCTTCAGCTCCCGGACGTAAACGCGCAGCATGATCTTCAGAGTCCGCACGTGGTGCATCTCCGTCTGCATCAGCTCTGCACCAGGACACAAAGTTGTTATATATTATACGTTTATCTTCTGCCGTGTGTGACGGCCCCTAGGCCTTAGACTCAAGTCCCTGGTTAGCCACGCCCCAATCAGGAGAGAGTTGCTTGGCTCTACTGGACCTTGGTTTGTTTGTCTTTGCTTTATACACTGATACATGTTCACACACCCACACACATTACTGATTAACTGACTTCATAATTAACTTAGTTTCTTGAAATAAATATACTTTAATTGGATATGAATGATGTGTGGTCTCCTTCTTTTGTCCGTCCTTGAGCCAGGGCGATGTATAATGCATGCAATGATATGGATTGACTGAAAACAGTTCCTTTGCCATCTTAACTTTTCATAACCTATTTTCTATAACCTCTTACGTTAGGGGTGTCACAATATAACAGTCTTGACAATAACTGTTATATTTAAATCAAATCATGTTAATAATACACATTCAAATATTCTCTTATAAATCCATGGCTTATAATACATTTAGTTTCTTTCTATTAACTCTCCCGCCCCGAACACACACATGCTTATCAAACAAAGCTAAGGATGCATTTGTATAATTTATTTTTATTTTCTATAATTATTGCATTGATTTTGTTTTTCTTTAAATGTGAAAATCTGAAATTGTGACTGCTCGATTGTGCATTAACCTGGCTTAAGTCATTTATCATCATTTAACTCCACCATATCAACGTTTACGGGTCTCGTGCAAAATCAGGTACAGGGGCGGACTGGGCCGGGCATCTCGACCGGCCCACTTCAGTACCACTAGTAAATTGTCAAATTGGGGGGGGGGGTGCTAGTGACTTATCCGACCGGCCCACATCGTCCGACCGGCCCACTTCGGTACCGGCCCATCGGGACTCGTCACGAACGTCCCGATGGCCAGTCCGCCCCTACAGGTGTGGACTCACTTACCGTATATCACATCCTGTCTCTTCACCATTTGTTTGGGGTGCTTCTTCACAAAAGGCTGGTCCACTGCCGAACTCCACGACTCTGCCTCCAGGTCCTGAGCATCTGACTCCAGATCGGCCCGCACTGCTGCATAGTGAGCATCTGAGGAGAGGAGCATCAAACACAGTTACAATACAGACAAAAACCTTTCAAGTAACTCCTATATGGCGGGAAGTCATCGCAGTTCTGATGTAAAGATCTTGTTTCCTCTAAAAGACAAGTCCTTAGATGACTTTTCTACATTTTGAATCATTCATAAGTGAGGAACAGTGATATCTAGAGAAGACTCTCTTAAGTCTCCAATTACTACTTGTGAAGGATCCAAGTTTAAGACGTTCAGTGCTGACGTAATGTCTCGTCCGTTTGTCTTTTGGCACGCCTGAAAATGATACATGAAGATAGTGAAAGAAGCAATATACCCTAAAGGAACAGAGAGAGGAAATAGGAATCTACATGCTGCTGGATATCTAATGTGAAGCGTGTGTCTGATAAAACAATAACGGTTAAACCGGGCGGCTGGGAGGAAGAAGATGGTGCAGCAGCTGCAGTGTTAGTCTGTCTCCGTCTCCCACACACTACAACTTAATGAGAGGGTGAGGTCATCCCTGACTCCACAAAACACACTCCTCACACACTCCTCCCTGGATTCCCTGAAGACAAACTACTATTAGTACGCAGGCAAATAAAATAAAAAGCACCATAACCACCTCCCTTATGGCTGACTAAAGGGAAATGGAATGATTTGTTTTTTACTTGAGGTATATTCAATTCATAGTAGTACATTAAATGTAGTTTAACTGATGCCCCGGCCACACGAGGACGAAAACGGTCGTTTGCGTTACTGTTTAGTGTCATATAGACCGTTCGGCCACACGAGGACGACCGAATACGGCACTAAACGACTGCGGAAACGATAACGGGTCCCAAGATGGATAGAACGGCATACGCAACGCTCTGGGGGGTCCAACGGCTCCGTGTGTGCGCCCTATACGATCATTTACTGATAATGATGAGGCAATAGCCCCGCCTCTCCCCACCTCTGCTGCTCACCCCCACGTCAAAGTAAACTGCACACTGAATTCAGATTATTTATCTATCTCTCGATATGGACATAAACGCGAGTGAAGTCTAATCTGACAGGACGGAGACACCTCTCAAACTACCTAAACTAGTTATAAATATGTTTATTTTTACTGTCGGCCGGGTCACTCATTACTGGATCAGCTGCTGCATGAGACAGACACTGGAGCTGTCCGAAGAGAGGGAGGAAAAAGAGAGGCTCCGTGTATTTTTATTATTATATTATATACTATATAATAATATAATAATGACTCTATATAATATATAGAGTCGTTATTCATTTGTTTTAAAGCTCAATAAATAACAAAGAACACCTTTTGACCGGCACTTTTATAATTTTGTCGGAAGATTTAAACTTTAATACACGTTGACTGGCGAAAAACTCTGCCCGGTTCCCTCGGCCCCCACCGCGGAGAATAAACAGAAGGGCAACCATGACAACCATGCTTCTTCGCTGCTTTTGTGGAGGAAGTTACAGCGCCACGTACAGGCTCCTGCATGTACTGCAGCTTCTCCAGCGGTTGGAGCTAAACGGAGCGGTCTCGTGTGGACACTCTATCCGGTGAATATTGCGTGTGGACGGAAGCTTGTTTGCGATTGCGTTTGCGTTAATCCTATGCGTTTAGCCGTTTTCGTCCACGTGTGGCCGGGGCATAAGAGGTTACAGAAGAAGCTGCAGTGTAGATTGGGAGGGTTTTCATAGCTTAATTGCCACCGTTTTCAAAGTCAACTGGTGGCAAATAAAGCATGATATCTGATGACTATGTTTATTCATCGTCTTTCAGTATAACCCAAAAACAGAGAACAGCACTCCCTAAGTTTCAAGCCCAATTACCAAGCTACTTTACCATAGAAAGCATTATTTCACAGGTTATATTTGAAACAGTGAATCCAATACAATCCACTTTATTTCTATAGCACATATTAAAAACAGAGGGTTTACGAAAAACACAACATTATAATAAAATATAATATTACAATAATAGATAAAAGGCACACATAAGAAAAGATAAAAGGCACATAAGAATTAATACGGTACATAAGGCTATGGACAGACAATAAAAGCATAACAATCGATAAAACATACATAGCTCAGACTGACTCGAAAGCGAGGGAAAAGAGGTGGGTCTTTAGGCGGGACTTAAACGTTTGGCGGGTGGGCGACAATTTGACATGGGGGGGGGGGGGGACAGGTCGGTCCAGAGCCTGGGGGCTACCGCTGAAAATCAAATCAAGTTTTATTTATATAGCACATTTATAAACGATTGTTGGTGGAGCCAAAGTGCTGTACATATAATAAAAATAGCCTACAGTAGAGACACTTTACAGCAAATACAACAACACAGATTGTTCAGAATATCAATATGAGAAAAACGACACCCTCTGTCCTTAGACCCTCTGTCCTTAGACCCTCTGTCCTTAGACCCTCTGTCCTTAGACCCTCTGTCCTTAGACCCTCTGTCCTTAGACCTTCTGTCCTTAGACCCTCTATCCTTAGACCCTCTATCCTTAGACCCTCTGTCCTTAGACCCTCTATCCTTAGACCCTCTGTCCTTAGACCCTCTGTCCTTAGACCCTCACATCGTACAAGGAAAAACTTCCAGAGAAAACCCACAGTTTAAAGGGAACATGGGAGAAACCTCAGGGAGAGCAACAGAGGAGGGATCCCTCTCCCAGGACGGACAGACGTGCAATAGATGCCGTGTGTAAATCCAAGAGATAATACATTTACAGCATATAGACCGAATGTTAGGAAATGCATGTGTCTGTAATAACAAGATGAATCCACGACGATGTCAACAATCCTGTGGAAGCCATCAGGGAAGCAGCATGACGAGACCCAAGGCAGGACCGAGAAGGCTCGGTCTCCCCTGGTCTTTCTCTTGGTTTTAGGGACTACCAGCCGCAGCTGATCAGCCGACCTCAAAGCCCTTGAGGGGGTGTACACATGTAGGAGGTCGGAGATGTACTGAGGGGCCAGCCCATTGAGCGATTTAAAAACAAACAATCAAATCTTAAAATGAACTCTAAAATGGACAGGAAGCCAGAATTGGGGTGATGTGCTCATGCTTGCGTGTAAACTACAAAGTTGTCTTAGATTGGCTTTGGGTTGTGATTCAAACTAAGACATGAGGGATTGTTTCCAGGAAATGTATAAACAAATCTCTGGTAAACACAACCTTTAATGCGGTGCTTTTTACATGATAATTATTTCTGAAGAAACAGATTTGTCAGTTAAGCCAATTTGCCAGCAAAATAATACATGTGGGGGGGGTGGCGCAGTGGGTTGTGTGTTGGTGTTGGTGTTGGGATCAGTGGGTCACAGGTTCAAACCCCACTGCAGTCAGCATGTCGTTGTGTCCCTGAGACACTTCACCCCAAATTGCTTCTGTGGGGATTGCCCACAGTATTGAGTATGTGGCTTTGGATAAAAGCGACTTACAAGTGACATGTAATGTAATGTAATTGTATATAGGGCTTTTCTACGTTCCTTAAGATAGTTTCACACAGGCATAAAACAAACATCCATACAGAACAACAACCCTACACACAGCGAGAATGTCTTTAATCCAGGACAGCCTTAATGTCCAACCAGGTAACCATTTCAACCTAGGGTTCAATCCGCCTCGTCGGTAAGTGAAACTCACCTTCGACGATGATGGACTCGGTGGTGGAGGGAGCGAGGGAAATGGCGTCTTCGTTGCAGCGTTTGGAGCGGAGAGCATCCGTCTCATCCATCTCCCCGGGGAGGGATCTGAGGGAGGACAACCACAGGTCTAAGGTGGCATACATGCTGAGACTAACTTAAACCTACTAGCTAAAGAAATCCAACATGTGCATTCACCTGGAGACATTCATGCAGCTACATTTGTCTTTATCTATGACTCTCTGTCTTCTGCACACCTTCCTACATCTCTTTCCCTCTAACATCACCGTCCCTTCTTGTACACATTTCTAACAGATGCAGCAGAAATGGAGTCCACTTCATAGATTGCTTTATCGGAAAAAGACAGCTTGCAAACTAAAAATACACATCTTTAGACAGCATAGAGAAAATAGTATCTCAGCATCAAAGCTTCTAAAAATATCGAGCATTAACATACAGCAGGTTCTGTAAACATCGGCACAAATAAAAAGGGCTCATTTTCGCTTAGTATTTTTGAACTCTAGGTGACGAGGAGTCCCGTCATTCAGGTGTTTCAAAAAAATAGATTATTATTTTGTATTTATTCACCTTGTTTGCCCATTCATATACTTTACTCTAAAAACACAATACTAATTGTTTGAGAGTCAGTGTAAGTTTAAAAAAAACTAAGATACATAATGTATGTCGTTTTTTGTTTTTGCGAATGAAAATCCCAGCGGAGAAACAAATAAATGAGAAAACAAACAAGAAAACATTGTCTCTAAAAAGAAAAATCATTATTATTTGGGCTTTTAAATGAGACAGTTCGTACGTGAATGCAAAACAGGAGAGAGGAGGGAAAAAAATGTGTACGAAAAAAAACATACCCCACAAATATATATATAGAATTAAATGATAATTCATATTTATAATGATAAGGGGGATTTTATTCATTAGTAAAGCCAATAATAATACTTTGATTTTAATATAGTTGATTGCAAAACGGTGATTTATCAAGGGGTCTCAAAAGACCTGTCCTCATAATGTTGTCTTAGTACTTCCCCTCCCTTTATTACATAGTAGAAAATACTGCAATCTTTGTACAAAAGATACACAGTGCCTGCGCCCCAACAGATCCTCAGTGACGGAGGTACTCACCCTGAGCTGTTGTTGTGACGGAGGCTAGCGTTGGATGCTGCTGTGGAGCTGTGGGTGTGAGTGCTGTTTCCCCACGGACTGATGGTCATGCCTGGGGTGCCGAGAGAACCCGGGTGGCCATCCAGGCCCGTTAGCTCTCTGTCCCGGTGCTTCAGCGCTGGGGGGAGGAAACGAGACACAGGTGAGCGGAGGAAACAAGAGGAAACGTCGGAGGAAGGAGTGGAGAAAGTAGTCGAGGGGAGGGAGAAATGGGAGGATGACCAGCGGAGAGGAGGAGAGGACGGAGAGGAGTGTTTGTTTGACTCCCGTCCGAGTCGAACCCAGTTTTTTTGTTCCTGCAGAGATCGAGGCAGGGGTCGGAGGAATCGGCAGGTGATCAGGTCGCGGTGCATCCACACTGGAACGCCGACGTGTCTCGACAGACCCCACGATGAGGAGGAGAGTGATTTAGCAATCCTGGAGCTAACTGTGGTTTGGGCAGCGACTTTAGAAACCTCTGGCTCCATTGTGAGTGAAGGTTGCAAACTTTGCAGGAGGAGCCTTGTGATAATCCAAAAAGCCAGGTGAGGTTAAATAGTGTACGGAGCAATAGGAGTAGGTATTATTGCAAAAGCGGTGTGCCTTCGTTGACGTGACGGTCGTGACCTGAGAAGAAGCCTGACTAAAGCCTGTTTTTTATATATATATATATATATGCAGACGTCTTCGTTCTTTCTCGCACTTTCTGGTTATTTCCCTCCTCATTTTCTCTCCCCTCGTCTTCCTGACCCCCTGCACGAGCTGCTGATTGGCCAGAGAAGAGCTCAGGTGTGTCTGACAGGACTCCAGCTGTTAGGAGGGGAATAACAACTGCTACAGGAAATTAACTTGAACTGCTGCTGCTGCTGCTGCTGACGCTCGTGCCTCCTGCGGGATCGATCACATGCAACAGGACCGGCTCGATGTTATAACTAATGGAGCATTACCTGGGATTGAACCATTTCTGCCAATGAATGCAAGCAAAAAGCACATGAATGTATGTCAAAGTGTCTTCAATCCAACTAAAATGTTCTATTCTAAAAGTATCGCTCTGTGTGTTGATACAAACTCGACTTAAGTGATTTTAATCTCATACTTTTACTAGCATGTAAAGAAATAAGCATAATGCTGTCAACATCTGCACAACTTCTTTAAAGATATACAATATTTTTTTTGTATCTTATGGTCCGACGAAGCTGCATACAGGTGCATTGACATTCAATCAATCATTCTTCTACTACTGTGTATAACAAATATTACTAAATCTTATGATTGCAGGAATTGTTCCCGAGGTCATGCTTCTGACCGTTGCTAACAAAGGCCAATTATCACCTTTACTTACAGTCTGTTGGAGACCGATCTCCCCCTTTCCTTTTTTTTTTTTTTAATGCAGCTGCCTTTTATGAAATCCAATAACTAATCATATATTACTCATGTCTTACGGTCTAAACGGTTTTTTTTGTAAAGCACTTTGAATTGCCTTGTTTAAATGTACTGTAAAAAAAAAAAAGTCCTTGCCTTAATGCTCAGTTTGCATGGAGACACACATACACCACAAAGACCCACATTTCCCTGCTTAGTGTTAATAAGAGTTCATCTGCTTAATCCTCAGCAAACCTCCAGAGAGAGAGAACACAGCAACTCAACTACCTTTCCTCTCTAATTAACGCCCTTGTCAGTGGGATCAGGTGCACATCTGTATGTTCTGCTTACCAGGATTAGGAGATCCTGACGAGCCAATCCTCGGGTGAGAATCTCTCTGTGTGGAGGAAATAAAGAAAGGCAGTCATTTCTCAAGCTTTTGTATCCTGAGTGACAGAATACAAAATGCCAAACCATTGCACTCTCTAATGGCGCATTTCCACTGCAGGGCTTAGTACGGTATAGTTAGGCCTTAGTAGGCCAGGCTCACTTTATGCTGTGTTTCCATTACAGTTTAGTAGCTGGGGCAGTAACTATAGTAACGCAGTGTAGGCGGAGCCGTGACGTCATCAAAACCAAACATCAGCCGTTAGCTGTTAGCACTCAGAGCTCACAGCTCCTCATATCTGTTCAGAAACTAGACAAAAGTTAAACAAGTACAAACCTACAGTCACTGGTTTATTTATGTCTGTAGGTCGTTGTTGTGAGTGTGGACGGTCGGAGCATATACTGCGTTAGCTTAGCCTCCATTCAGAAAACACGCATTCTAAAAGGTTTTTCGCCTGCCGTCTGTCTGCAGACTTGTCAAAGCATTAATTCATGGTTTTTACTAACCGGTATCAGTATGTTGTTACTTCGGCATCATTTTGAAACATGTATTACAATGAAATCACGGTCAAATATGTTCATTTTATTGTAGTTGTAGCTCCCTTGCCAGCGTGTCTCTCTGACCAATCAGTCGAGAGTGTTTACGTCCCTAGTTTAGCATATTCAGCCCGGTTGTTGGCTCGGTAAGAACCTCGATTTTGGAGGGCCAGAAAAAAGGTGAACAAGCAGCCCTGAGCCGGAACTACCCCTAGTGGAAAAGCCCACTTAAACCGTGCTGCAGTGGAAATGCGCCATTAAATGTATTTTCTACTGTACTGCTCACATGGCCTTAACGAGCAGAGCCCATCGCCGGCAGACCCATAAGAGTGGACAAATCGCTGTTTTAAAGGCCTTGTGTACAGTAGCTACATGTGGAAACTTTTTTTTGCCACATAAAGGGTTAATATGCATCACCCCATGGATTGTATACGTAGAGATAGCCGAACCAGATGAAGCATCGAAGGGTGGAGATAAGTTCAACTGAAAAGCTGAACAACAAATGATTAGGCGTAGCGAAGTTTACTTTGGAGACGTGAAAACACACTTTATTAGGGGTGAGATTGTCAGAAAGAAAACGACCTGTCCGACCTAATTCGTAAAATACTTTATTGTCTTTTTTAATCTAAATCATTGAGAGACTTGAACTCATGCTGTATTGAAGGAGACTTGAAAGTAGCGATTGAAACCGTAGACACATTAGGAAATTGCTAAGTGAGGTAATAAATGAAGTAAGTAGGGTCATTTTCTTCTATAGAATCAGACTCCTTTTTGCAACCAGTGACATCTCACCCTGCTCGATATGAGAGAATGCAGGTTTAAGACTGTATAGAAGTCTTTGAGAAAATAAAATAAGAGGTACTTTATTGATCCCAATTTGGGAAATGTTTGGTTGCAGCAGCATAAAAAACAACAAAAGAAAACTAGGCATTGCACATAAGTAGAAATGAAAGACTAGAAATAAACCATACTAGAATTTAAACATCTCAAACTAGAATTAAAGCAGCATTAAAAGTTGAAAATATACAGTAGGCCGTGAAGATAAACAATTCTATAAACTGACAATAAAACACTATTGAAGGGAAATGATCCTACTTCTGTACGATCATTTTTTGAAGACTTCGATACAATCTTTTTGTAACTATTGGATTCACACCCTGCTGTATGTACACTTAACTGCTGCCTGTTGTTCTGTGCTCCAGTGTAGTGTTTACCTTGTTCCTGCTGCTGGTGCACTCACCCAGCAGAGACTTGCAGCTCTTGTGAACGTTCACAGCACAATCTGAAAAAACAAACAACAGGAGGAGGACAGGGACACAGAGTCAGTGTTGCATTAGAAACAGAGTACACAGTACGCAGAGACAGCAGGGGGAGGCTTCTCCGATTGAATATGGACGCACAAAATGAAACCGTAAACAAAGTGTGACCTTTCAAAAACCAATCCGACAGCTCCCTGAAGGCAGTGTTTAACCAAAGCAAATGTGCTGAAACGCAGCCCTGGGGGGTATACTACGAAGCAGGATTTTCGCTTATCGGCTAAATTCAGGGAAAACTCCGGCTTTCCGGTCCTACGAAGCTGGTTCTCTTTTTAGCAGGCTAGATCTCCATGGTAACTTATGCTGAGCGGCTAACCTGGTCGGGACCAGGTTAGGTTGCAGGCTAAGAGCTCAACTCAGTGAAAGCACCGCCTGCTGACCAATCAGAGCTCAGTGTGCGGAGTTTAAAGCGATCAAGTCATATTACAGGAGAAAGGAAATACAGAAAAGCTGCCGTTGCAGGAAAGACGGCCGGCAAAAATCACCGACTGTGTGAACGTGAACATTAATAGAATATCACCTCCATCTTCAGAGCAATCTGACTATTATAACATTAGCGTTAAGAAAGCTTACTTAAATATCTGCCACAACATAAGTAACCGGATCAGAGTAACATTAAGTACAGTCCGCGGCATATCACTTCATAATGTATCATCTCCTGATCTGAGTCAGCTGAGCCGTATCTGGCCGTGCAACACTCACAGTGTCACAGACTGGATGCAGAAGTATTATTTTAAGCAACACATTTAGTTGACGAAACACTCGAGACAAATGTAATTAAAGTCAGATCGTGTTTTAGACGGGGCAGTGATCTCAAACCTGTTAAAGTACGCATTCAAACACTTGTTCTGTTACCAGCTGTATTCACCTTGCAGGTGCAACTATGTGGCTTTTATCCAGGATAAAGTGTTTAAGTCATGGATGTTTAAAGTTTAACTTCTTCATATGTCTAATATTAAAGTTCACTTTTCATTCAGGAAGTATGACGCGCTGCGGTGTCAGTACGCTTCTCCATGTTTGTGATTGATCGAATGCTCCAGATATCCCCTTTCATGTGAACGCGCACCTAACTAGATAGGACACGGCTGGCTTGAGCGATCCACTTGATAACCCGCGTCGTAGTACCGTTTAGCGAGAGAGCGTATGTTTTGGATTAGGCCAACCGGCTAACTCAAACATATCCAGGTTAGGTTGAACCAGCTTCGTAGTACAGGCCCCTGGAGGCAAAGCGTATTCTGCTGATGCTATCAACAAAAACAAAGGCAAGTATTTATCTTCAGCCAAGTTTGCTTATCAAGTCACAGAATCACTACTGGCTGCTGAGACTGGTGCATCAGTGAGGCTCCGGTTTGTTTACGGAGATCTCCCTTTATCTCAGAAACAGGTTTCTCTTTCTGTCCGTTGTTCTCCGGTGTTGAAAACAAAGCTACTGTTGTCAGGTTTAAAAGGCATGACTGATTGCATCTCTGATTAACACACGGTACAATTCAAAGATGTTTTGATAAACAGACTGCAGTCAATAAGTGCTTCTCCATGTTTTCTCTCGATTGCTGGAAAGAGAAAACATGGAAGCATGGATGTCAAACTCAATTTCATCTCGGGCCACATCAGCATTATCGTTGCGCTCAAAAGGCCGGTTGTAACTTTAAGACTATATAAAAATACATATATAAATATTTAATATATATAAAATAATGTGTTATATGACATTATTGACTCTGCATTGGATTATTATGGGATAGGGTAATAACTTCATAATTAACTACGTCTGAAAGCAGAAGTCTAGGGCAAATAATTGCAGGTCTCTTCAGTGGGAATGTCACAAAATGATTTAAAAGGAAAAGCCACAAAAAGGTGACATTTTGAAAAAAAAGTAAAGATGAAAATGGGGGATGTTGGCTTATCTGGCGCCCGCAGCTCACAGCCAAAGTGCGAGTGAGCGTGGGAGAGAGGGAGGGTGCACCGGTACCGGCGCTGTTGTTATTAGAATCTGGTGCTAGCTGCTCTAACGAATATAAGAAGAAGATGTTTCTACAATGATGTGGAGGGAGAGTCCTCTCCAGTCAGACTGAGAGGCTGATACTACAGCTCAGTGAGGTAAAGGACTCTGAGTGTTTAGATAGTTCACTTTAGTCTAAGTTATCTCAGTGGGTCTCAAACGGTTTGATCACAATTTATGTAAACACATATTTCCAAGGCACTCCTTTATAATTATTGGGATAAACAGGTTTGAAATCATTCCAATGTATACTATAGGACAGTAAACCAAAAATATCCTTTAAAACTGGAGAGATACAAACAAAAGCATAAATAAATAAATGTTAAGGTAAAATAAGATATGAATGAACAACAAAAATAAAATAAGTTACATCCATTTGTTATTGGCTATGGTAGGTTATTGGTTATGTTCACATACTTATTTGATTACATCCACTTTTCTAAGATGACAACAGAGACTTTCGACCCAAAACCAGCAGCTAATCGCAGACTCAACCAGAGAGAAAGTAGTAGGCCTACATCATCAGCTACCATGTCTGACAGAGAGGAAGACAGTGAGGAGAACAGTCAGGAGGGTAGTGATGACAGCTTGTAGGATTACTGGTCGTGCTAATGTTGTCTTGTGTTCACCACTGCATGTGTGTTCTGTGTTCACCTCTGCATGTGTGTTCAGTGCCGTGTGTCTGGCAAATAAAGTCAAGACCCCCTCAAAAGTTACGGTTTATTTCATTTTAAGGATGAGCACCAAGCAACATCTCCAGGTGCTCCTTTGAGAACCAGGGCAAAAAAGTTATGTGCACCCCTGGTTATAGGCCCTTCTTGCATGGCTAAGCTGGCCATACAAATGAAGTAATCACGATGCAAAGTCTCATCTCAGGTAAAACCAGGCCGACAGGGACAGGAAACAGGTGACCTTCAATGCAAAACACACACAGATGTGCATATATACATGTACACAGTCAAATGAGAGCTGCTACTCCGTATAGAGGTTGTAGAAACAGGGTTGGTTAGTTTGACACAGTTTGATCTAAAGCAGATATAAGTGAAAAACACACTTCAGCGGACTGCACCGAGTGGTTTCAGGTTTCAAGGCATTTATTGGTCATACTTACATAGCTACAGTGTAGTTATGACGATGAAAATCTTAGGTCACAGGCTCCTCCAACAGTGCAACACGATAAAACACAAAAATATAGTGCAAGTAATAAGTAATTACAAAAGAAGAAATGGTAAAAGTGATGGACCCAATAGTGGAAAATACAGAAAAGTCTGAATTTGAAACAGAAAAACAATGTTTGCGTGGGTGATATGGAGAAAACAATGACATATAATCATCTGTTTGACTTTATACCTCAACAATGCAATGAAGGTTTATGCTTTGTCATTGGTGCTTCCACAAAATATGTACACTGTGATTTTTGATTGATTATCATCAATAAAGTGGACATATTGACACGGCATATATTAAAAGAGCTACAGAGAACAGTCTGGAGAGTTCAGAAACATCTATATATTTACTGCAATGCAGACTTTTAAACCAAGAATAAAGAGAACACTTAAAGTTTGATACTGTTGACCACAACATATTACTAGACCGACTGGAAAACTGGGTGGGACTTTCGGAAACAGTTCTAAATTGGTTTGAATCCTACTTAAAGGACAGAAACAACTTTGTTTCTATTGGTAAATACACATCTGAGTTGACAAATATGACATGTGGGGTTCCTCAAGGCTCCATCTTGGGGCCTCTTCTCTTTAACGTCTACATGCTACTACTGGCTCAGATAATGAAAAACAACAAAATAAGTTACCATAGCTATGCAGATGACACACACATTTACGTAACAATTTCACCAGGAGACTATGCTCCAATTCAAACACTGAGTAAGTGCATTGAACAAATCAATGACTGGATGTCTCAGAACTTTCTCCAATTAAACAAAGATAAAACTGAGGTAATGGTTTTTGGAGCCAAGGCAGAACGTATAAAAGTTAGCGCTGAGCTTCAGTGTGCAATGTTCAAAACAACAGATAAAGCCAGAAATCTAGGTGTAGTCATGGACTCTGACCTGAGTTTCAACAGTCACATTAAAACAGTTACTAAATCAGCCTACTATCACCTAAAGAATATATCTAGGATTAAAAGACTAATGTCACAGCAGGATTTGGAAAAACGTGTCCATGCCTTTATCTTCAGTAGACTGGACTACTGCAATGGTGTCTTCACAGGTCTCACTAAAAAATCTATTAGGAAGCTGCAGCTGATTCAGAACGCCGCTGCTCGAGTCCTCACTAACACTAAGAAAGTGGATCACATCACTCCTGTTCTGAAGTCTTTACACTGGCTTCCTGTGTGTCAAAGAATAGATTTCAAAATACTGCTGCTGGTTTATAAAGCACTGAATGGTTTAGGCCCAAAATACATTTCTGACCTCCTGCTAAATGATGAACCATCCAGATCTCTCAGGTCTTCAGGGACTGGTCAGCTTTCTGTCCCCAGAGTCAGAACTAAACATGGAGAAGCAGCGTTAAGTTATTATGCTCCAAATATCTGGAACAAACTCCCAGAAACCTGCAGGTCCGCTGCAACTCTGACTACTTTTAAATCCAGGCTGAAGACTTTTCTTTTTGTCGCTGCTTTTAATTGAACTATTCACATCTCACATCTATTCACTGTAACTTTTATCCATGTATTTTTTCTTTTAATGTTTATTTTATTAGCTTTTCTTTTTAATGACTGTTTTTAAATGCCTTTGTCTGAATGTCTTTCATTTTTTGTAAAGCACTTTGAATTGCCTTGTGTTGAAAAGTGCTATATAAATAAACTTGCCTTGCCTTGCCTTGCCTTAAAGGTCACCTATCATGCTATTTTTAGGCAATAGCATAGGTCTCAGATATATACAAATATATACAAAACATGTCTATGAAGTGTTTTGCTCAAAATACCAAACCGATCACCCATTCTAGC